AAGAAATCAAGTTAAATTAGGCACAAATAAAAGTAAATAAGCGCAAATAATGCATTAAGATCCCCAAATATGTATTGTAAAATTAGACTGTTTACAATAATAATAATAATAATAATAATAATAATAATAATAATAGTAACAACAACAATAATAATAATAATAATAATAATAATAATAATAATAATAATAATAATAATAATAATCTAATACTACTAATAATAATAATACTTCTCCCAACATCTATTGTAAAATAAGCACATTTACAAAACAATATAAAAGTTAAGTTAAATTAAGTAAAAGTAGAAATATATATTACACATTTATATATATATAATATTTATTGTAAAATGAGACTGTTTACAAAACATCAACAATATAAAAATTAATAGTAATACAATATAGTAAACAATGTTTATAAATTCACCAATATTTATTGTAAAATTAGCCTATTTACAACAACAACAACAACAATAATAATAATAATAATAATAATAATAAAGTAGAGTACTCTTTTAAACACAGTCTATGCAGTGTCTCCCTTTAAGTGCCATTTAATTTGACTAATATTATTAATGCTACAGTAAGCGCAGTTCTTCATCTGTGACCGGTACAGACAGTGAATGATAACTGTGTCCGCATACAGCTGCAGTGAGTGTGTGTGAGTGTGAGTGTGAGTGCGTGTGTGTGTGTGTGTGTGTGTGTGTGTGTAAGTGCTGTGTTTGCTCCTGACTCAGCAGTCATTGTCAGGTCTCTTTAATGTTGTCATGCTTGACTTGCTGCTTCCTCCAGCTCTTCTGCCAGAAACTCTTCAACTTTAAACTCAACAACTCCAGAGAATGCAGAGACACAGAGTAAATATACAGCTGAGGTCAGAATTATTAGCCCTCCTCAATGATCAGCCCGCTCTATATTTATTCCCCTAATTTCTGTCTAATAAAGAGAAGATTTTTTGAATATGTTTGGTGACTATAATATTATTTTAATAAATATATCTGTTTAATAAATAACAATAACGGATACAAATAGTAATTTTCAAAATGGGCTGTACTCAATTATGCTGAGCGCTGTATAATGTGTTCATCTATGTAATGAGTGTTGTGTAGCATGTTTACAGCTATTCTTCCCAAGCGCATTCAGAAGTATGCTGTTTCTCTCCCGCCTTTGCTCACCTTGATGGCATTGCTGGAGATCTGGATCTCGTGGAGTTTTCTCATGGTGCCGTCACGGTCAATGAAGTACGAGGACGCGAGCTGGTGCAGAGCCTCCACTCCCTGGCTGGCGTTCACCATCTTCCGGTCCAGCTTGTTCTTGGCCATGTACATGGTGAGAGCTTCCTCACCTAACGGCACAGAGCAATATGGTCAGTTCACGCAAGAATTCACTTCCCCTCGTCCACACGGGCGCCGAGGGTTCAAATATCACACGCTTTACAAGATGCTGCACATTCACTTCGTCTGGACACTCGCTGGTATCATCACTGATGGTCATCATCATGGTAAGAGCAATGATTCAAAGCAGAAATACACTCAGAGAGATCTTTATCATGCTTCTATATCTTATCTTCATACACTTTCTATATATACAGTTGAAGTCAGAATTATTAGCCCCCTTTTGATTTTCGTTTTTAAATATTTCACAAATGATGTTTAACAGAGCAAGGAAATTTTCACAGTATTTTTGATAATATTTTTTCTGCTGGAGAAAATTTTCTTTGCTTTATTTCGTTCTATTTTTTTATTTTTTTAAACAGTTTTAAGGTAAATTTTATTAGCCCCTCTGGGTTATTTATTTATTTTTTTCCTCAATAGTCTACAGAACAAACCATCGTTATACAATAACTTGCCTAATTACCCTAACCTGCCTAGTTACCCTAATTACCCTAGTTAATAAATTACCCTATAAAAAATATATTACCTATAATAAATATATACCCTATAATAAATACCCTAGTTAACCTAATTACCCTAATTACCCTTTAAACGTCACGCTGTATAGAAGTGTCTTTTAGTCTAGTCTAATAGTATTTATTGTCATCATGACAAAGATAAAATAAATCAGCAGAGGTGGAAAGAGTACTGAAGAATCATACCCAAGTAAAAGTAGCATGACTTGCCTAAACTAGAACTGTGATCGGGCTATAAAAGTTAGGCCCGACAGAATTCAGCCCTAGCCCAACAGGTACATTTGAATTGACAGCTTTTTAAAAGCTGAGCCGGTTTAGGCAAGGCAAGGCAAGGCAAGTTTATTTATATAGCACATTTCATACACAATGGCAATTCAAAGTGCTTTACATAAACAAGAATAAAAGAAACAAGTAAAATAAAAATAAAAACAAATAATAAAAGAGCCTGACGTTATTCAAATGTACACATTTTTAAAGGAGGCTAGCTAGTAGGTCCTGTGCAGGTAAACCTCACTCCTCTGACCTCTAAAAGGTGCTCTAGCCACAAATGCTAGAAACTTTTTCTTTAGCCTCCTTGTTTGAGCAACCGACTCCCATGCGGAAGGTCGCCGGTTCAATACCAGCTCGGAGCGGGTTGGGTGGTGGAGGACAGGCGGAGGTTACATTGGTGCCATGACCCGGATGGGAGTGAGGTTTAGGGGGGTGAGTGTAACGGGGGCCAGCTAGTAAGTTCTGTGCAGGTAAACCTCACTCCTCTGACCTCTAAAGGTGCTCTAGTGACAGATGCTAGAGGTCATGGTCTTTAGCCTCCTTGTTAGAGCAACCGACTCCCATGCGGAAGGTCGCCGGTTCGATACCAACTCGGAGCGGGTTGGGTGACGTAGGACCGGCGGGGTTACACATGCACACAGCTCTTTCGCCTTTTTTCAAGATTGAATCATTTATTTGTGTTTTAACATCATTTATTCATAACAAACGTAGGCTACAGGCCACTTGGAAGTTGGAACAAAGAAATAAAATAAGTCCTCTGTATCATCGTAACATCTCAGCACTCTAAATAGGCCCAGGTACACACACTTAGCCTAATAATTGGCCAACACACCAATGAAAAGAAGTCTTGCTTAAAAAATTTAATTAAACTACATTTCTAAATCATGATCGTTATTTGGAAATAAATATAAAGGCTCTGTGTGATTTGATGAACCACTTGTCTTCACAATCTTGCCTTAAGCGACGGTGAAGCTGAATAATAAAAGAACAATAAAGCCATCACAACATATTAATTACTATAGATGGTGTGTTCCCTTAGCAACTATAGAGTCACTTGAACAGATTAATTACTGTAGTTGTTGGGTTACCATAGCAACAATATGATTACCACAACATATTGTTTATAGGTGTTGTCTTACCATAGCAACAACAAAATTACCACAAAAGATTCATTAATGCAGTTGTTGGGTTACCATAGCAACAAAAGCATGACCACAAGAGATTAATTACTGTAGGTGTTGTGTTACCATAGCAACAATAGTATGACCACAAGAGATTAATTACTGTAGGTGTTGTGTTACCATAGCAACAATAGTATGACCACAAGAGATTAATTACTGTAGGTGTCGTGTTACCATAGCAACAATAGTATGACCACAAGAGATTATTTACTGTAGGTGTTGCGTGACCATAGCAACAATAGAATGACCACCAGAGATTAATTACTGTAGGTGTTTTGTTTCCATAGCAACAACAGAATGACCCCAACAGATCAATTACTATTGTTGTTGGTTTACCATAGCAACCATAGAATCACTAGAACAGATTAATTACTGTAGTTGTTAGGTTACCATAGCAACACAATGACTACCACAACAGATTAATTAGTATAGTTGTTGTGTTACCAAGACAACAATATAATCACCACAACAGATCGATTATTATACGTGTTATCTTACCATAGCAACAACAAAGTTACCTCAAAATATAAATTCATACAGCTGTCGTGTTACCATAACAACAATAGAATCAACACAACAGATTAATTAGTATAGTTGTTGTGTTACCATAGCAACTATAGAATCACCACAACAGATCAGTTACTATAGTTGTTGTGTTACCATAGCAACTGTAGAATACCCACAACAGATCAATTACTGTAGCTGTAGGGTTACCATAACAACAATACAATCACCACAACAGATCAATTCCTAAAGTTGTTGTGTTACCATAGCAACTGTAGAATCACCACAACAGATCAATTCCTAAAGTTGTTGTGTTACCATAGCAACTATAGAATCACCACAACAAATCGATTATTATAGTAGTATCTTACCATAGCAACAACAAAACTACCACAACAGATTAATTACTATAGTTATCATGTTACCATAGCAACTATAGTCGATCAATTGAACTACTTCAGTATAATATTATAGTATTTGCTATAGGTCAGTGGTGCTCAACCCTGTTCCTAGAGATTTACCATCCTGCAAATTTCAGCTCCAACCCTGATCACACACAGCTGCACTAATTAATTAGGACCTGAACAGTACTTTGAGTGTTCAATCTGGGTTGGAGCTGAAATATGCAGGAAGATATATCTCCAGGAACAGGGTTGGTCACCCCTACTATAGGTCATTATATTATTGTTACATGGGCATGTACACATGTGTAATGCATTCTATTCACCCACTTTAAATGTCTTTCAGTTCCTTGCATTTAAATAAAGCACAAAGTGTTCCAATAAGCCATGATGCCATCATCACTGGGCTCTGGAAAGACATGCGGCTGCCTAAATGACTTTCACTAGCGCTCTCCAGCAGAACGCCACTGATATGCTTCACTACAGTAGATCTGCAGACGTGCTGTCATGCTGCATAAAGCGGTGGCGCTGAGCTTGCCAGCCCTCATCCAGGCATCAGTTTGAGTGCTGTGGTTCATGCAGCCAACATGTCATCTCATCAGCGCGCTCCTTCAGTGTGCACTTCCTAGTGTGTGAGAGGTGCCAAGTGCACTGACATGATGGAGACGCAGTGTGCATGGCTGACTCACTTCACACACTGTCACAGAGGAAATTCTGCTTACAGTGTCAAACTGACATGACCCGTGAGTCTCGCCCGCTCGATGCCAAAGATTTCTTCCCCCGCCGGAGTCGAGTGGGAAAAGCAGCTATGATTGATTTTTGCAAAGCACCGCTGACCTTTTCCTAAAGAACTCATTCACTGGGACAACAGAGGAATATCGGCTCCGACAGTAAGCGGAAAACCAGCAAAACAGCAGATACCACACGCACACACACACACACACACACAAATGCACCAACAAACCATCATTCACTTGTAATATGCTTGTAGTTGCAATCCAATTTTGGGTCAAATATTGACGAACATAGAGTTGGGTTATTTACAAATACTTTGTTTATGTGTTATGTCTATAATATGTGTTGTGTATGTATACACCATATACAGTGTATACATCCATACACAGTGTATATATACATTGTATATGGATGGGTGAATGTGTAATTGAATTAATCAATGGGGTAGTTAATGAATAAATTAATTATTGAGTGATGAAGTTAATAAGTGAGAAAACAATTGAACAAACAAACGAACAAGCAGGTTTATAAATGAATGAATGAATGAATGAATGAATGAATGAATGAATGAATGAATGCAGTTAATGAATGAACAAATGAGCAAACAAACAAACCAGCAAGTTTGTGAATGAATGAATGAATGAATTAATTAATTAATTAATTAATGATTGAATGAATACAGTTAATAAATGAACAAATGAGTGAACTAACAAACTAGCACATTTATGATTAAATGAATGAATGAATGAATGAATGAATGTATGAACAAAAAAGTGAACAAACAAACTAGCACGTTTATGAATGAATGAATGAATCAATGAATGAATGAATGAACAAACAAACGAACGAACAAGTGAATAAATGAACAAACTAACAAATGAATGAACGAACAAACAAATAAACAAATGAATGAATGAACAACTGGAAAAAAATGTTTTTTTATTAATTAATTAATGGTTAAGTTACTGAACAAACGAATGAACAAACAAATGAACCAGTAAGTTTATAGTAAATGGATGATTAAATGATTGAATAAATGAATATATAAATGAATGTATGATCAAGTAGATGAATAAATAAATTAACAAACAAATGAATGATTGAATGAATGAATGAATGAAACGAACGAACAAACAAACGAACGAACGAACAAACAAACAAACAAACAAACAAACAAACAAACAAACAAATAAACAAATGGGTATGTGAATGAATAAATGTATGAAGGAATGAATGGTTAAGTCAATAAATGACTGAACGAATGATCAAACAATCGAATTAGTAAGTTTATGAATAAATAAATGATAATTTAAATGAATGAATGAATGAATGAATGTATGAATGA